GTGCAGCAGAGGAAGGGCACTCGCCGTTGGAGGTCACTTCCGGCGGAAGTGAGGGTCGGGAGGGCAAGCCTGGGTGCCTCTAGCCGCCAGTTTCTATGGCCATCTCCGCCGACTTCTGGACAAGGGGCGGTGCTTCGGGATCGGGAAGGAGGGAAAGGGTTTCCCCGCCGCGCTCGGCCGCGCAGCTTGGGGGCTCACTTAGTTCTCTCTGGCGACGCCGGGGGGAAGAGTGGAGCGCCCCATAATGCACCAGCGCCCCGGAACTCTTGGACTCTGGAGTTCCTAGGGGGCATGCTGTGGGAGGCCTTGGGGTAGGAGTCAGGTAAAGCTAGGCTGCTCGGTGAGAGGGCCCCGCGGATAGAGGCCCCCAAGCTCCCTGGAAGCCGACTCCTTCCACGGATCTAGCGAGAGATCTGGCGGCCTCTGTGGCAGCTGAAGGTAGGACAGGACCTTCGACATCCGTGGGAGTTGAGCTCAGGTGTGACCCATCTTTCCGCTGCGCCTTTGTTTTCTGATTTGTAAAATGGGAATGGGAATGTCCACTTCAGAAAACGAGCCTGACTTCTCACCTTGTGAGGAAATGAACTGGGAGGGGTCAGGAATGGGGTCCTGGAGCCTCACAATACTGGCCCTGCAGGCTTGCAGCTTGCTGGACCCTATACTGCCTAACCTCACATGGGCACGAGACAGCGCCTTGCTGCCCCACTCCTGTAGCTGCAAATCAGCGTAAGGGGCAATTCCCTTGATCGTAGGCTCACCCACCTAATTAAACAGATGACCAGAGGGTGAGGGACTGGCTTGAGGAGACTTTCATTTATTTATTTATTTTGTGGAGAGATTTTTGCTATGGGGCGCTTGTGCTTGCTGGAGAGACAGAAAGAGAGAAATCACACACACACTCACACACCCATGGCCACACTGCAATCCCTTATCCTCCATTCTCCTTGGGATTTGGGGCATGCACACACACATGCCTGGCGTGAGTTTTAAGCCTCCAGGTCTGGGACTCGAACCTCTGTCAACTCCATGGGAGCCAGCACCATAACCATTCCACCATCTGCTGGTCCCTTGAGACTTTATTAAGGGCAGCCAGTCTTTCTTGTTCTCCCTGTGGTCCCAGCCCAGAACATAAAGGGCATGCAGAGAGTGCTCATTAAAGGTCTGCTGACTGAACGAATGAGTGCGAGGGTAGCGGGTGACCGTCATCTCATCACAGCGTGGCAAGCATCACCCCGACCTGATAGTAGTGGCTGCTTAACTCTGATTAATGTTCCGAAGCTCATCGATCTGAAGACTCAGTTGACAGCGTGTATTTCAAAGAGATTCCCTAATTCCTTCCCTGGAGGTTATGGTTCAGTGGAGTCTAGGCACAGACAGGGAAACTGTTCTAAAACTCAGAGGAGTTTGGGAAACTGAACAAACAGCATTCTATGTATCAGGCATTCATACCGGTTCTCCCCTGTGTGGTAGGATCTGTTATTTCCCCCATTTCACCGGTGAGAAAATGAGAGGCTGATAAAGGAACCCAACACAGCTAAACCCCAAAAAGTATGCACCTAACCACAACATCATACTATAATTTAGCTATCATTTTACTGCTCAGATAAAGTAAGGAACGTGCTAGGAAGACTTCTCTCTCTGGCCTTCTAATCCCTCAGCTCTGCTTGAGAACGGCTAGTATAATATAAAATAATTTTCTTTGTGGAGGTCAGCAGATGGCATAGTGGTTAAGGCACTGAATCCCCACATGGCTCACCATGATTGAAATCCTGGCCCTGGCAGCTTGAAAATCATGCAGAATACATGTGCATGCTTGCCTAAAATGCCAGAGAAGAGAAGGAATTGTGGTGTGGCCACACATCCCCCCATCACCCGATTTCTCACTTTCCCCTTCACTGTCTCTCTCTGGTAAGCACGCATACCCTATGGCAAAAACCCTAACAATTTTTTTCTTCTTTTTTTCTACCCTATACTTCAGTGGCTATATTGTAGTCCTCCTGCCTCAGCCTCCCAAGTAGCCGGGATTATAGATGTGCACCTCTCTACCACCCTGTAGAATGGACTGGGTGTCAAATCCAGGAATCCTATGTAGCCTTAACTTGCTGTGTAGCAATATCAATGAGCACGGACAACTTTTTTTATTTTTAACTGTGTTTCTTTATTTTAATTTGACCAGATAGGGGCAGAGTGAGAGAGAGAAAGGGAGAAAGTGAGAAAGCAAGCCGCTAGGTCTGGGACTCGAACCACAGTCAGCCATGTGGGAATCCAGTGCCATTAACCACCACCCCACCTGCCAGCCCCAAGCATGGACCACTTTTGTTGAGCCAATATGTGAGGATTTTAGGGTGATCTTTGAACTAAAGGTTTCTATTTTTAGTTGTAGTTTCTAGTTTAATTTAGTTCTATTTATTTATTTATTTTTAGTTTTGCTATAGGTCATGTGCACTCACTGGAGAGAAAGAAATCACAAAAGAGAGAGAGAAAGAGAATGAGAAGTCATTCCCCGGGGGGATGGCCATGCTGCCATCCCTTCTCCCCCATTCTCCTCTTAGGATTTTGGGCACACAAGCACACACACCCAGTGTGTTTCTCAAGCTACCAGCCTGGGATTCAAACCACACAGCTGGCCACGAAGGACCCAGCCACCTCAGTTATGCCATTGGCTGTCCCAATTCATTTTAAATGTATCAGTTTGGGAAAAACTGGCATAAGTAAGCCCAGCCTTGTGGTGCAGTTCGTAGCATACCGGATTGTGGAACTGGAAGACACATGCCAACTCCCATTCGAGTCCCTTGCCTATTGAGCCTGAAAACATCCAGGTGCATGCTTATGAGCCCAGGATCCTTGTGGGCTGAAGGAAGGGGATTGCAGTGTGACTGAGCCCTGTGGGTTTTTTTTTCTCTTTTGCACTCTCTCATGTACATGTATACATTCTACCATGAATGAAAATAACAACTGAAATAATATCAAGTTTTTAAAAAATTAATCAATTTAGAGAACACTGGGGGACCAGCAGATGGCGTAATGGCTATGTTGCTGGACCCCCATGTAGTTGACTACAGTTTGAGGCCCGGACCCAGTGGCTTCAACTCACGCTGGGCATGTGTGCATGTGTGCCCAAGATCCTGAGAGGAGACTGGAAAAGAAGGGATTGTAGTATGGCCATCCTCCCTGTGGGGTGATGTCTCACTTTCTGTCTCTCTCTGCCTTTCTGGCGAGCACGTGCCCTGTAGCAAAAACCTTTCAAAAAAAAAAAAAAAAGAACACTGGTAGATAATATTATGGTAGTACAAATATATGGCAAATTTGGGGGCAGGTGGCACTTGAATGACTGAAGTTGAAGAGTCCAGAAAGAGGCCATTTTTCCTGGATCAGCCAGGAGTCTTAACTTACAGATAATGGATTTTATACTGGCTGCTTTAAGCAGAGGAGTGATTTGTAAAGAGTACTAGGTGGCTTGGGGCCAGCAGGTGGCATAGTGGTTAAGGCACTGGGTGCCCACATGGCCAACTGCAGTTTGAGTCCCAGACTCAGCAACTTGAAACTCACACTTGAGCATGTATGCTTATATGCCCAAAATCCCAAGAGGAGAATGGAGGATTATGGCATGGCCATCTGCCCTGGGGAGGGGTGATCTCTCTCTCTCTCTCTCTGTCTCTCTCTCTCTCTGTCTCTCCAGTGAGCACAAGAAAAAAAGAAAAAAAAAAAAAAAAAAAAAAAAAAAAAACTCTAAAAAAAACAAACGAAGAGTATTAGGTGGCTTACAGGATTGTGGGGTGGGCTGGACCAACAGTTCCAAGCCACAGATCTGATCTGACCTGAAAAGAAAACTGCTGCTACTGCCATTGCCAGCAGATGCTACATGCCAGGATACAGACTCATCTTAACAGCCACTGCTGGTGGCACTGAAGCCACTTCCGTTTCAGAAAAGTGACCTTTCCGTCACAAGGCTCTCCAAAGTCAAGCAAATTCAATCTCATGTGGATGCATCTCATTGGAGAACCCTAGGTCCTGTATCAACATTTTTGCATTAGAAGAGGTGGAGAGGTGTACTCTAACTTTGACGTTGGGGAGCAGAACTGGTGGCGGGGCATTACCCAGTATAGAAAGTCTCTTCTAAAGGTGTCCAGGGGGGCCAGCCTGTGGCCTGGTGGTTGAGACAACTAGATCCCATATGGCCAACTGTCCCATGCCCAAAGTCCCAAAAGGAGGGAGAGATGGGGAGAAAGGACTGTGGAATGACCATCCCTTGTGGGGGGTTCTCTGTCTCTCTATCTTCCCCCAATTCCAACAAGCACACATACCCCCAGGTAAATAAGAAATAAAAGATATCCAAGGGGCCAAACAGGGATGGACTTCCTTCTGACTCTGGATGTTGCGGGATCTGGAAGGCACAGTGGTAAATGTGATGCTCTCTGAGTCAATCCCACAAGAGAAGGTTCCTGGTTCAAGTCTGAAGACCTCCCTGAGTACACCCGCCATGTTGTTTGCCCATGAGTCAAGGCTTGCTGAAGGTCGGGAGTGGATCATGGCAACAAGACCTGTTGGGGGTGGGGCCAGCAGGTGGTGTGGTGGTGAAGGCACTGGACTCCCATATGGCTGACTGAGGTTCATGTCTTGGACCTGGTAACTTGATTTCTCACTTTCTCTCTCTCTCTGTCTATCTCCTCTGGTGAGCATGTGTGCCCTATAGCAAATCAAAATAATAAGTAAAATTAAATAAATATTTTTTTAAAAACCTATTGGGGGTTCTGTCTCTATCTCTTTCAACTCATGAAATAAATGAATAAACTTTAAAAGAAGGAAAATGATATCTAGTCATACCTATGACCAATATTGCAGTGAAAAAATAGAATGAGTACGATATCTAGTGGATAGATAGGTATGACAGCATGAATTTAGCATAGTCAGCACAAGAAACATTAACTGGGTGGGTTCAGAGTTGCAGAGACCAGGGGAGCCGGCTGCCTGTGAAAACACTTGTGAATAATACCAAGTTTTGCTTCTAGAGAGATTTTTGCTATAGGGCATGTGCGCTCACCAGAGACAGACAGTGAAAAATTACCCCCATGGGGATGGCCACACTGCAATGCTTTTTCTTTCTTCTCTCAGGATTTTGGGCACATGCACACGTGCCCAGTGTGAATTTTAAGCAGCCACATCTGGGACTTGAACCACAGTTGACTATGTGAGAGTCCAGCAATGTAACCTTTATGCCATCTGCTGGTCCCCAGAAGAAGTGAACTTTAAAAAAACAAAAAACAGTCACACTCCTCCCTGATACAAGCTCAGACTGGCCTGTCGGCCCAGGGCTTTAATTCTCAAGAGACATGGGGGGGGGAGAAACTGGTAACAGGATACAGACAAAGGAAGCTGAAAACAGTTATCTTTAGGGGTCTGTGGATTTGCTTAGAGGAGAAAGGTTTTTCTCTTTCAAAAAATTTTTTTAATTATTTAATTTTTTTCTTTTTCTTTTTCTTTTCTTTTTTTGAGAGGTCTTTGTTATAGAGTGCATAACCTCACCAGAAAGACAGAGAGAAACAGAGAGACAGAAAGTGCAAAATCACCCCCTGGGGGGATGGCCACGCCGCAATCCCTTCTCCTCCATTCTCCTCTCGAGATCTTGGGCGTGCACGCACATGTGCCTGGTGTGAGTTTAAGCCACTGGGTCCAGGACTTGAACCGTAGTTGACTACATGGGAGTCCAGCAACATAGCTATTATGCCAACTGCTGGTCCCAGCTCTGCATAGCTTTCTAGAGGAGGCCTCACTTTCCCCATTCTCAAGTTCAGTAATTCACAAGAATGACTCAGAATGGAGGAAAGTACTATATGTGGGGTTAGTTTTATTATAAACATATCAGGACCAGCCAAATGGAGAAACGCATAGGGTGAGTTCTGAGATGATCCAAATGCAGAGTTCCCATGCCTTCTGCCAGTGGAATATGTACCCACCTTCCCAGCTCATCAATGCATTTGACAGCCAGGACACCTATGGAGCTTTAGTGTCCAGTTTTTTATTAGGGTCTCATTACTTTTTTCTTTTAGAGAGAGATTTTTGCTATAGGGCACATCTCCTTGCCAGAGAAACAGAAAGTGAGAAATCACTCCCCCCCAAGGGGGATGGCCACACCATAATCCCTTCTCCAACTTCTCTCGGAAATTTTTGGGCACACATGCTCACACACCTGGTGTGTTTCAAACCATCAAGTCCTGGACTCAAATCATGGTTGACTACATGGGGATCTAGCAACATAACCATTATGCCATCTGTTGGTCCCAGGGTCTCATTACTTAGCCATGACTGATTAAATCATTGACTATGTGATTGGTTTTGATCTCCAGGCCCCCTTTCCTCCCTGGAGGTCAGGCAGGCTCAAAATCCCAACCTCCTTATCACCAGGTTGGTCTTTTTGGTGGCCAGTTCCCATCCTGAAGCTATCTAGGGACCTGTCATGAATCACATTAGCAAAAACAGAGGTATGATCTAAGGGACTCATGAGTAACAGATATTTCTATTGCTCACGAAATTTAAAGTGTTTTAGAAACTCAACCCTATTTCATTTGCTGGATCTACTGAGAAAGCTATGATCTTCCTGCAAGTGTTAAGCTGGTAGAATGAAGCTTATAGCTGCTGGTGAACATCTTGCAACATGTAAGGGAACAACCTGTCTGAAAATGAACAGTCCAGAGGAAAGCAGAGAGGAAAGAGACTGAGACCAAGTTCAAATTAAACTGGCTTCAACCATGCTTGAAGTCATTCTACCTCTGATCTTCTATTCTTTGAACTAATAAACTCCTTCTCTTTTCATGTTTGAACTAGCTTAAATTGGGGCTTCTCTGATTTGTAGCTGAAAGCATTTTGAGTATTACATCCAATTCCTGAGAAAGAGGTGTTTCTCTCCTTCACAGTAATACCTTGGCTTTACCTGGACCCTGGATGCTCTCTCTTCCCACCTTCCCATCCTCTCTATCTGCCCCTTTTCCCTTAGACTTTCAACATAACCACATCTCCCTCAGGATATAAACAAACAAGCAAACTTTTCCATCTTCTCAAACTACATCCCTCTTTACTTCCTTTTCTTTTCAACCAAATGAGGTAGAGCTGCTCCACATTTCTCCCACTTCTTTACCACCCAAACCACTATCATTTGTTTTCTGCTGCTACCACCTCCCTAAAATTCCTCTCAAGATCACTTATTGATCTCTTATCAAAGTCTTCTATAGGAGATAATGGCTGTGCATGGCCCCATTTCCCACAGATCCCTTTTAATCATCTCTGTGTCTTCCTCCCCTGACACACACATTTCCTTCAACTCACACATGTCTTGCTCTTGTATGTAGTTTCTCTTCCATCAGTTAGAACTTCAAGGGCCTTATTGTTTGGGGGGAATACCTTCGGGCTTCTGGAGGGCTTTGTCTTGACAGAAATGCATGGAAATTGACATCTCTGAGGGAGCTCTTGGTCAATGGCTAAGGCAGATTAATTTTGAAAGGCCCAGCTCCCTTGTTTCTGGACAAATCTAAACTTATATCCAGGGCTTCCTGTGGGATCAAACAGTAATTTTCTGCTTGACATCACACATTAGCTGGGCTTCCTCTCCTTCCCTTGCTTGCTTCTCCCACTTTCTTACTGGTTTCTCCTGTTTTTTGTTTGTTTGTTTGTTTTTTATTTTGGTTTTTGTTTCTTTTGGTATAGCATGTAAGTGATCGCCAGAAAAAGAGGGAAAGCGAAAAACCAACCCTCCCACCCCACCCCTTGGGATGGCCATACTGCAATCCCTTCTCCTATATTCTCCATTTAGGATTCCCCCCACACACACACACACACACACACACCAGCATTTTTCAAGCCATAGGGCCCAGGACTTGAGACACGCAGCTGGCCATGTGGGAATCCGGTGTCTTAACTGCCACCTGCTGGCTTGTCACAGAAAGTTTAGACACAGCACTCCCAAGTATAATTTATCAACAGTTGCTTGCCTTTGTGCATTCTTCAGCTGTGCCTCTCTCCCCCAAACAATGATAGGACAACTACAGAAAAAGGTGTATAAGGTATGAGGTAGGGGATAGATCCCACAGGAACAGGATCCTTTTCACAAACTTCTGACCTGGGAAGATCAGTAGACAAAACTGGTGCTGAAGACCTTAACAAGCCATCTGCAAACTGAGGTTATATAGTTAGGACTGTGGTTGGCTAGGTTGGAACCTACTCTTCCATGAGTTTTCCCGACCCCATCTAGCCTCATCTAGCCTCCGTCAGAAACATTTTAATGTGAATCGGATCATTAATCCATCTCCATTTCTTCAGTTACTAGCTTCTGTATTCCACAATGGCCACTTGACCCAATCAGCTAGTCCTTTCTGGAAAAGTTTTGGGAATCTCAGAAGCAGCTTGCTTTTTTGGGTGGTGTTATGCTGTTAGGACCTAAGTTTGGAACTATAGAAAACCATTTTGCTATTAGAAGAGGAGACCCTGACAGTGAAGCCAAATGCACAGGGAAAGCACAACCAGGGGTGGTGAAAATTCCTGGTATTTTTTGGCCCCGTATTCAGCTGTTCCCACAGCTTGATCTACTCCGGACTCTCCAACGTCTTGAACCATAGAGCCCCTTATAGTTTAGGCCACCAAGAGCTGGGCTGGGTCAAGGATGAGACTGGATTGACAGTGGTTCTCACTGTGTTCATGGTTTAGAATGTCGTTTACAACTTAATGGTTCTCAATTGCTGTTACTGGTCTGGACGTCTCTCCTGAGCTCCAGGCTGTATGTCCACTTACTTCTGGATGTCCACAGCATGTCCCAAATTCACCTCATTATTTTTGCATCCCATCTTTATTCTCCCTCTTGAGATGGAGCCGCCTTCTCCGCCTGCCCCTTTCCTACAAGAAACCAAGGTCGCAAGTTCAGACTCCGCCTCCTCCCGTGGCCTCCCCAAGGTCATCCGCTTCCCTCGCCCAGCTTGGGGCGATGTCTAGGTCCCCCTCAACAGCAAGGCCAGGCGCTCTAGGCTGCAACGGGTCCTTCAAAAAGCCTTTCATCTCGCTGGTTTCCGGTACTCGGCGGCTACTCTAGCATTCGGAAGGGCCTCGGGACTCTGTTCCCAAAGGTGGCTTCTCTATGGTCGACTTCGCTCCTTTGTTCCCGAATTTCTCCAGGAAGATGCTTTGGTGGACTCCAACCCTGTCCCACTCCTGCTTCTGTGGTCCCTTTTAGGTGCAACTATAGAAGTCACTGAAGCTCTGCCAGCTCCACACTCTCTTGGCTCTTGAACACTGCACGGAGCAGGAGGATGGCGGAAGTGAGTACGCAGGGGCCCTTCCCTCTCGCCGCTCCTCTCTATGGTCGCTTCCTTCGGCGACGGGAAAAGGGGTCCCGGCGCCTGCGCAGAGCCGGGCTGGACGCTCGTCACGGAGGGAGGGGGGGCGTAGGGAGCGGGAGCTGCCGCCGCTGCCGCCGCCGGAGCTAACCGCGGGGACCGAGATGCAGGTGGGACCGGAACCGGAACCCCCCTCTTCAAGTGCCTCTTTCCTCTCCGCGACCCGGCCCTGGCGCCTGAGAGGAGCCCTGGTGGGGGTGGGCGTGGGGCCCGAGGGCAGGAGGAGCACTTGGCCCCGGACAGTGCTGCAGACAGGGCTGATCCCGAGGAGGCTGCGGCCCCGGGGAATGGGCCAGTGGGGGGTGTCGAGGGAGTAGGGTCGGGTCGGAGTGGATTGACCACCGGGCCCGGAGGGTCCGAGCCAGGAGCGAAGCCTGCGCCCTCCACCACCCGCCCTTCGGGAAATAGCAGAACTGAGCCAAGAGGCAGGTGCACCGAGAAAATGTGTGTTTGGCAGAAGAGAAACTGAGTCACCAGCTCAGGAGCCGCGGGGTCAGCGGGTCTGAGGGGGCTGGGTCTGCCTGGGGTGCAGAGGGTTGGGTGGGCCTGTGTGAACCGAGGTGGCCTCTGGCTAGAGACAGAGCTCTGCTGTGTCTGCACCTCTTGGCTCGGTTCCCCTGTGCTCCATGACACCCGCATCTCCTGGCTGCTGCTCGTTGGTTTGGAGTTGTTCCTGTGGTTGGGGCCATCTGAGTGCGTAGGGCCTAGGCCAAGGAGGAAGGGGAGGGATAGGGGCAGGAGTCCAAAGTTACTAGGGTTTGGGGAGACGGTCCTGAACTGCCCTCACCCCAGTCCTGGGGCTGTCACCTCTCCTTATAGCATGGGGAAGGAGCACTAACTACAGAGCCATGGGCTGTAAATTCCACGCCCAGCCCTGGCACTTTCTAGTTGTACGATCTTGGGAACGCTCTTTCTCTCATGTTTGTTTCAGAAAACTGGGACCATAATACTGTTTTCCCCATAAAGGTAGTAATAATGATAATTGTTTATGGAGTGCTTACTTTGTGTCAGGCACTGACTTATGCCATCCTGATTAATTCTTCCAGTAATTCTAGGGGATAAGGATTGTTAGCTCTGTCTTCTCGAGGCTCAGAGAGCATGTGTAATTTGTTCAGGATCACACAGCTAACAGGTGGCTGAGCTGGGACTTCAGCCCAAGTCTGGTTCTAGAACCCACAGCCTTAACCACCAGCCTAACCAGCCTTTCAGGTGCACTTTCCCGTGAGAGGGCAGGGAGGCGAAAAATGCTAGGGCCTAGCTCCCTGTGTTGTTTTACTCACCTTGCAGCCAGCCAAAACGTGCTCTGACCCTACCCTCAGCCTCTCCGCTGGTGCTGCTGCCTCCAGGCCCCAGACTGAAGGGTCACCAAAGAAGGCACTAGGCATGCCAAGGCTTCACAGTGCTTGTGTGTTGGACCCTGAGGTCAGCTGTCAGGACAGTTGCTGTTTCAATCCATTATCCACCCATCCTCATTAGCGAGTGACCTCGGGTTGACCATAGGATGCGTGAGACCAGGTCTCTGAGCTCTGTAGTCCCAGCTCCTCTCTGGCCTCCTGAGAGCTGGGGCGGTAAGGAGCTATTGCTGAGGCTGGCACAGCCAGTCTCTGGGGACAAGAGCTGTGCAGTGGGAAAAACAGTAGACTTGGAATTCTGAAACTTGTGAGCTTCGGTTTCCTCATCTGTTAGAGAGGTTATTAAAAAACCTCTCCCAGGGAAAGGTAAGATAACCATGTGGCAGCCTCTGAAATGGTGTGTGGGAAGTGTGTAGTAAACATTGGAGGATCTGTCTTAGAGAGGGAGGTGATCTGGCAAAGATTCCTTTTGAAGGGCGGTGCTCCCCAGCCCTGAATCCTTCCTGGACTCAAAGCCAGGGAAGTGGTTGTGAAGGCAGCAGGGGAGGTGCAGGCTAGGAGTTGGGGCTGGTGGGGTGTGAGGATCTGGGAGGGAGAGAGGAGGCAGCTTGGTTCTCTTCCCCAGTGCTCCTGAGAAGTCTGAACCAGAGGAGGGAGTCTCTGGCAGGGGTGGGACTGGTCCCCAGTCTCACCTCAGCAGTAACTCTGTGTCTGCCTCTCTCCCTTCTGCAGCTGCTGCCGCTCACCCCGTGTCTCCTGGCCGCCTCCCTCCTCGCTGCCCCTCCCCACAGGCTCCTCCTCTCCACCTCCTGGGGACTATCATGAATGGTGCCCCTTCCCCAGAGGATGGGGCCTCCCCCTCCCCGCCGCCCCTTCCACCACCCCCTCCCCCGAGTTGGAGGGAGTTCTGTGAGTCCCATGCCCGGGCTGCCGCCCTGGATTTTGCCCGACGTTTTCGCCTTTACCTGGCCTCCCACCCCCAGTACGCGGGGCCTGGGGCTGAGGCCGCCTTCTCCCGCCGTTTCGCTGAGCTCTTCCTGCAGCACTTTGAAGCCGAGGTGGCCCGGGCCTCTGGCTCCCTCTCACCACCCATTCTGGCACCCCTGAGTCCTGGTGTGGAGATCTCGCCACATGACCTGTCCCTTGAGAGCTGCAGGGTGGGTGGGCCCCTGGCTGTGCTGGGCCCTTCTCGATCATCTGAGGACCTGGCCGGCCCCCTCCCTTCCTCAGTCTCTTCCTCTTCTACGACCGCCTCGAAGCCGAAGCTAAAGAAACGCTTCTCCCTCCGCTCAGTGGGTCGCTCTGTCCGAGGTTCAGTCCGTGGCATCCTGCAGTGGCGGGGGGCTGTGGACCCTCCCTCCCCAGCTGGGCCCCTGGAGACCTCATCAGGCCCCCCAGTCTTGGGTGGAAACAGCAACTCCAACTCCTCTGGTGGGGCTGGGACCATGGGTAGAGGACTGGTTAGTGATGGACCGTCCCCTGGGGAAAGATGGACTCACCGCTTTGAGAAGCTGAGACTAAGTCGGGGAGGGGGAACCTTGAAGGATGGAGCAGGGATGGTACAGAGGGAAGAGCTGCTGAGTTTCATGGGGGCAGAAGAGGCAGCTCCTGACCCTGCTGGAGTAGGCCGGGGAGGAGGAGCAGCTGGGTCAGCCTCGGGGGGTGGAGGGCAGCCTCAGTGGCAGAAGTGTCGCTTACTGCTTCGAAGTGAAGGAGAAGGAGGAGGAGGAAGTCGCCTGGAGTTCTTTGTGCCACCCAAGGTGAGGCCCAGAGGAGGGTGGGTGACTGGGAGGCGTGCTCGAACAGCCAGAGTGGTAACAGCCCCGAAGAGAAGCCGTGGGGTTTACCAGCCCGCAGCAGTGGCTTCGCTGACTTTTTTCAAACTAACTGCATTAGTCGCTGCAAGCAGGACTGAGAAAGCAGTGTTACTACCTTTTGTCTAACCCTTAGGATTAGAAGGAAGGTGAATGGGGAAGGGTGGTCTTTGCCAGGTCCAAGCCTGGAGCTTGTGTTCTGTCTCCCCACACCTAGGCGTCTCGGCCCCGACTCAGCATTCCCTGCTCTGCTATCACGGATGTCCGGACAACCACAGCCCTGGAGATGCCCGACCGGGAGAACACGTTTGTGGTTAAGGTAGGAGCTCAGAACCCCCACCCCCTGGGGAGAGACTTCTCAGCACCTTTAAGCACATGACAGTGGCAGTAGGAGGGACATACAAGTCAAGTGCCTTGATGGCTTATCTCTGGGGCTGCAGCTTTTCAGGGACAGGGGTAGAGAGGGAGAGGTTTTTGTTCTCATTAGGGGTGGTCAAAGGCATCAGGACCTGAAAGTGGCCTGTGGGCCTCCTCCCTGAACCTTGCCCTGACTGAATGCCACCTCTGTTCTCCATAGGTGGAAGGCCCCTCAGAGTATATCCTGGAGACGACTGATGCCCTACATGTGAAGGCCTGGGTGTCCGACATCCAAGAATGCTTGAGCCCAGGGTGAGGAGCCTGGCTTCTGTCCCTGAGAGGACCTGGGAGGGGGTGGGGAGCGGTTTGTGCCTCTCATCTGGTGCCTTTCCTCCCAGCACTATTTTCCCTGTCTCTGCAGACCTTGCCCTGCTACCAGCCCTCGCCCCATGACCCTCCCTCTGGCCCCGGGGACCGCATTCCTTACAAGGGAGAACACAGACAGCCTGGAGCTGCCCTGCCTGAACCACTCAGAGAGCCTGCCCAGCCAGGATCTGCTGCTGGGACCCAGCGAGAGCAATGAGCGCCTATCTCAGGGTAAGGGTGGAACCTTTGAGAGTCGCAAAGCTGCCCTACAGGGCTCCCTGCTGTCAGTTCTAGGCCCCCTCTCCAGACTGCTGTGTACCTAACCTGTCCCCAGCTGCTGCATCCCAGTCCCAACAAGTGTTTGTCTTTTGTCGCTGAACATGCCAAGTACCGTTGAGCCACAGCCTGCCATTTAGAACCGCCACTACCCCACACAGGCCCCGTGTAAACTCATCCAGCCTTCTGCGCCCAATCTTGACACCTTTTCCATGTCTTCTGCAGGCCACCCCTCTGACTAGAAGCATGGTTCTTTTCGACTAGCTTCTAAATGCTCTGTAGAACTCTTACCTTGCGTTTCTGTGCACAAGTCTATGGTACCACATTTTCTCTCTCTCTCTCTCTCTCTTTTAAGGTTTTGCCATGGGTACATGCACTTGCTGAAGAGAGAGAAGGACAGTGAGAGAGAAAGTGAGAAATCACCCCTGAGGGGGGAATGACCACACCACAGTTGCTTCTCCTCTGTTTTCTCTTTGGGATTTTGGCACGTCGGCCCTCCAGGTCTGGGACTCACACTGCAGTTGGCCCTGTGGAAATCTGGCACCTTGACCACTATACCAACTGCTGGCTCTCCAGATTTTCTTTTGACTCTACTTTCTATCTTGACTGAACACACACATATCCTACCTACACACACACACCTTACACACACACACACACACACACACACACACATATGTCTGCCTGGCCCCAACTCACTTTTCTAGTCTTGGCTTCCATTATACCCCTTTCTTCTGACCCTCTTTCCTGAGTTTCAGTTTCACGGTGACTAGTAAGTAAGCTGTATTTACTGAACAAACAAATGGATCCTAGAACCTTAGCATTAGCATGGACCTTCCAAGTCATCAGATCTCAGGCAGCAAAGACCAGGGAGAGGAAATGACTTTTCTGAGAGTCACCAACAAAGATAGGCAAACCAGCCTAATTTCTGAGCCACTGCCCTGTACACTGCACGCATGCCTGTCTTCAGAGTACTGGCCATGTACATCATCCGTGTAGGTCAGTCCCCCTGCTAGGCAGACATTCAGGAGGGCCCTAGTACAGACCTGACCTTGTGCTGGGCCATTGGGCAGGATATGAGGGAACTCACAGATGCCTGACCTGAGCACCTTGCTCTCGGTGTGCTCACAGGCTAGCTGGACTGGCCTGATTCCCTATAAAAAGCAGGTCCCCCAAATGGAGATCCTGTGTTCATTGCCATCTGAGCAGCACAAGCAGGAAGCACCCGTGGATATGAGAGGAGGAAGAACAGGGTGGTGGAGTAGATAGGGCACACTGTGTGGAGGAGGTAAGGGAGAACATGGCTTGAGAGAGGCAAAGGGTGAGAGCTGAGACCTGAAGCAGGGAGGGTCCAAGGTATTTGGGGGGATTGGATGGGATAATCGGGCAAGGTGGAGGATATATGGATTCATGTGATACATGGGTACAAGTGAAAGTAAAGATCAGATTGGTTTACGTTAGCCTGGGATTAATGGAAGGCAAATCTTTGATGCTTCTTAGAGTTGGGGCCTTGTCCTGTAATGTAAAAAAAGGATTTCTTTTTAATGTCAGTAGTGTGTGTGTATATATATATATACACACACACTTTTTTTTTGGAGAGGTTTTTGCCATAGGGTGTGTGCGCTCGCCAGACAGATAGAGAGAGACAGAGAGATAGAAAGCAAGAAATCACCCCCCGGGGGATGGCCACACCGCATTCCTTTCTCTTCTATTCTCCTCATAGCCATTACACTAACTGCTGGTCCCTATATATAAATATATATATATATATTTAAAGAAGTATTTTAACTTTATTTTATCTATTTATTTATTCATTTATTTATTTATTTTAATTTGACCAGAAAGGGACAGAATGTGAGAGAGAGAGAGAGAGAAAGGAAGCTGCCAGGTCTGGGACTTGAACCACAATTGGCCATGTGGAAGTCCAGCACTCTTACCCACCACACCACCTGCCAGCCCCTCAAAATATATTTTTTCAAGTTTATTTTCTCTATGAGTAGAGAGAGACAGACAATACCCTAATAGAGTCTCTTTGCCACAATCCATGCCCAACCTCAGCTAGCCCCAGATCATGGGCACACATGTGCCTAGCATTCTGAGGGAGGTCTCTGCATGTGAAACCAGAATCTTCCCATGTGGCTTAGCCTCACAAAGCATCATGTTTAACCAGTGAGCACTGTCTTGTCCCCTAGTGTTCAGATATTTGAGGGACTAGCTGAGGTACCATGCACTGGTTGACACTACTGGTCAATAAAGCCACATGGGGGCTCTGGTTTGATTCCTGGCCTACCCTGAAAATCCAGGTATGGTGGTTCGAGTCCTGGACCTGGTGGTTTAAAACTCATACTGAGCAAGTGTGTGTGCTTACCCAAAATCCCAAGAAGAGAATAGAGGAGAAGGGTTTACAGCAGAGCCATCCCCCCAGGGGGTGATTTCTCGCTTCCCATTTCTCTGTCTCTCCAGCAAGCGCATGCCCCCTATCGTAAAAATAACTCTCTAAAAACATTAAAATCCAGGTATGATGGTGCATGTCTCTAGCCCTAGCTTCTTGGGAGATTGAGGCAGAAGGTTGCAACAGCAAGATCCTGTATAAAAGAACCACGCAGGTAGGACCAGCATTTGGCATGGTGGTTAAGACACTGGACTCCCACATGGCCAACTGTAACTCAAGTCCCAGGCCCAGTGACTTGAAACTCATGCTGGGTGCATGTGGGTGCATGCCCCAAATCCTGAGAGGACAATGGAAGAGAGAGGATTTCAGTGTGGCCATACTCCTTGGGGAGGTGATTTCTCACTTTCTCTCTCTCTCTGTCTCTGTGAAGTGAACACACATGCCCTATGGCCAAAAAATCTTTTTTAAAAAAAGAAAAAAAAAACCCACATGTGTACACACATGTGCATGCACACAATAAATTAAAAAATAGGTATTTGAGGGATTCTTTCCCCCACCTATGCCACAATCTTTCAGCCATTGATTCAGAGAAGATAGAGACACATTTAACTTGCTGGACATGCTTGCAGGGACTCTGTGCAGTCAAGCAGTGCAAGCAGTGCAGACGAGGAGCCCCTCCTAAGAACCAGCAGCGATTGCTGCCTGCAGAGGGTCAGCCTTGGCCCAGCCCACCGTACCAGTGCACACAGGGTGGGCTTGGTGGGGAAGCGGACCCAGGAGAACAGGCCCTCAGAGAGCAGCTTCTTGAGTTCTCACCTTTGCCCCCCTCTGTTTTGTTCCAGGGGCATATGGGGGCCTCTCAGACCGCCCCTCGGCATCCATCTCCCCCAGTTCTGCCTCCATTGCCGCCTCCCATTTTGACTCAATGGAACTGCTGCCCCCAGAGTTGCCCCCCCGCCACCCCATTGAAGAAGGACCTTCCGCAGGGACAGCTCACCCCCTCTCAGCCCCCTACCCTCCCCTAGACACTCCGGAAGCAGCCACAGGTACCAGAGGTGTGAGTGTGTGTCCCTGGCCTGGTTGCCTGCCTTCTTGGAACTGCTATCTTGGGATCCTGAGCGATCTGACCCAGGGGAGGGAGGTGACACGGGGGAGGGGAGGAGGCGCCTCCAGGGAAAGCAAGGCTTTTTTCCTCCCAGGATGGGGGAGGCTTCCCTGACAGCCTGGTTTCCCTCCCTCTCTCCTTCCTGAAGGGTCATTCCTGTTCCAGGGGGAGTCAGAGGGAGGTGAGGGGGACCAGCCCCTCTCAGGATATCCTTGGTTCCACGGGATGCTTTCTCGACTCAAGGCTGCGCAGTTAGTGCTGACAGGAGGCACTGGCTCCCACGGTGTCTTCCTGGTACGACAGAGTGAGACGAGGAGGGGAGAGTATGTCCTCACTTTCAACTTCCAGGGCAAGGCCAAGGTGAGTTCCTCTAGGAGCAGGCTCTGTGCAGGGCCTGCGGGTGGGATGGAGGAACTGCTGTCTGGGGAGGAAGGTTTTGTGACCTGCAGGGGTTAGGCTCCCGCCTCATCTTGCTCATCCGCCCTCAGCACCTGCGTTTGTCGCTGAATGAGGAGGGGCAGTGCCGGGTCCAGCACCTGTGGTTCCAGTCCATTTTCGATATGCTCGAGCATTTCCGGGTGCACCCCATCCCTCTGGAGTCTGGAGGCTCCAGTGACGTTGTCCTTGTCAGCTATGTCCCGTCCTCCCAGCGTCAGCAGGGTGAGCAGAGCAGGTCTGCAGGGGAGGAGGTGCCCGTGCACCCAAGAAGTGAGGTGTGTGTGCCAGAAAGTCTGGGCGGGGGGTGTGAGGAGAGGCTCTGTGGGGAGAGCAGGGAAGAGAAGCTTCCTGTGCGTGGGGTTTGGACGGGAACGCAGGCTGTAGGGAGGAAGAGGGCTCCTTGCCGGAGCCCGGGAGGAGTTGAGTTGGGTTGGCGCATCCCATTCCATCGGACTCCTCTGTCCCATCATCTGTCTGTCTCCCGGATCCGTCCTCCCTGGCCTTGTCTGTGCCCTTTGTCACAGCCTTGCCTTGGGCCTGCCCTTCTTGGGGATGCTTGGTCTGATTCCCTCCCTCCTCCCTTGGTGTTTGATGTCCCTGTCTGATCTCTCCCTTTCCCCTGCCCCAACGTCCCATCTGTCCCCACGTTACCCCTCCCCCCCAGGCCGGGAGCAGGCCGGGAGCCATGCAGGGGTGTGCGAGGGAGATCGATGCTACCCCGATGCCTCCTCCACCCTCATGCCCTTCGGAGCGAGTGACTGTGTGTAAGTGTGGTCCTCCTCACCACCACCCATGATCCATCTTCCATGGATGGGGGGTTGCTCAGGAGATGGGCTGTGGGGAGATAGCACATGGCTCCTGGGGGACGAGCGAAGGGGACGCCACGGCAGGAGCGTGCCTCCCTCCACAATTGGTCTGTCTTCTTACCGTTCCTATCCAGAATCGAACACCTCCCATGACCCACCCCAGCCCCCTGAACCCCCTTCGTGGACAGATCCCTCACATCCTGGGACAGAAGAGGCGTCGGGGGCGCCAGAAGTGGCGGCAGCAACAGGCGCACGCGCCACACAGAGGGGCA